GGTTATAATTCTGCATGTTCTTTTAAAAAAGCAGAGTAATAGGGTCATGCAATCATGGTGAAATAGAAAGAGCTCTACATTAGGAATAACAGGGTCTGAGTTTGCAAACCAGCCTGGTCAATTTCTAGGACCATGACACTGGAATCCCTTTTCTCTGAGAGTTGCTTTGAGTGGCCAGAGGTTCTACATGGTAGGGTACAGAAAGGCCTTTCTTGCTATTTTGCTGAACACACATTCCTTAACACATCCTCTGGTGGGCTCTCATATTTTTATCTAAGCTCAAAGTGTCTCCTTTGAAGGAGTTTTGAGAGTACCGTAGGTAAATTAGCTTTCCTGTATTCCTAACCCTTCTATTCCACGACTTTGTATTATTCATTTATATCATTTTTTGTTTTATGTTAAAAATCACTCTATTCACTTATTTATCATCTGCCTCTAGATTACAAACTTCACTAATTCCATGAAGTTAAGGATCTTATTCATCTTATTTCATCCTAGTCCAAGAGTGTATTCTGAATAAAACAAACTAGTTGAAAAACTCAAAAGGCCAACCAGGCATGATGGTACACACCTGTAAACCCAGTGGCTTAGGAGGCTGAGGCAGGAGGATCACAAGTTCAAAGCCAGCCTCAGCAAAAGCAAAGCTCTCAGCAATTCCGTGAGACCATGTCTCCAAAATAAAATACAAAAATAGGACTGAGGATGTGGTTTAGTAGTCAAGCGCTCCTGAGTTCAATCCTCAGTACCTTCCAACCCCCCCACCCCACCAAAAAAACCCCGAAAAGCAAAAAAACAAAAATTCAAATGACCATTGGAGACATCTTCACTGAACATTATCGAAAGCTAAAAATGAAATTAAATACAAAAACACTCTTTAGCAACTCTGACAAAATATATTAAACTGATCTCAGTTACTGGTACTTCCATGACAAAGAAAAGGGATTCTCAAAGCAAACATAATTTTTTAGCATTCTCTTGTTGTTTTGGCATTTGTGAATTCCAACAAGATGGGATTATTTTGATGTAGACTCATTTTGCTTAGGAAACTAAATTAATAGGTATTTTGGCTGCCATGAAGGAGTTCTGCCTTCTTTTATTTAACAAATTAATGTCCAGGGGAAAAAATGACTTTGATGTCCAGAAGAGGGACGTCTTCCTGAGACTCTGAAATGTGAGATGTCAGAAGTATTTCTCTTCTACGATGGCTGGGAAAAAGAGCACGTTTATTCTCTAGGGGAACTGAAGCATAATGAAATGCAATCTAAGAACATGCAAACTTATTATCTACCAGGATGGTTGAATGGTTCCAATCAAATGGAGGATAGAAATAGGGCTTTATATTTGGATTTTGGAAAAATGACTCCACAGTTATATTTAGGCGCAACAGTGCCTGCAAATACCTGAAATAGTGGCAGTCTGTGGTTTGTTCATAACATAATGAATATATTTGCTCTTTGAAACTTATTATGGGGGACTAGGAATAAAGCTCCCCAAAGCATTACTACTATAGATGATAAGAAAAAGTCTGCCCTGGTCTCAGTGATAGGTAGGTATTATTTTTTAATTAGCTCTTCATAGGGCTTCCCAAAGACCACTTAGCATAGGTGGACCCTGTGACTTTAGGAAAGTCAAATTTTCCTTATTTCTCCACTTTTAAAAATTGCTAAAGGGGTATTATATCTTAATTAGCAGGAGGAATCATTTTTATGAGGATATTATCTTTTCCCAGGTCTTCATGGATAGAAATCCTGGCACCAGAAAGATGAAATTTTTTAGAAACACAACTTATGTCATTAAAACATATCAACTATTTCCCATTTACTTTTTAGGTTAAAAACAAAAATCTGTAACATGGTCTGTGAATCTGTGAGACCTCTGGCTCTGGTCAATTGTGTAGCCTCAACTTGTATCCCAGGAACTTTATACATGTTTTTCTCTCTCTGGCTGAAATGCATCTTCTTTTACCTGTCTCTGCTTAAATTCTATCTATATTTCAGGCCACAGTCCAAATGTCAATACTTGCAGGAATTTTCCCTGACCTCTAACTAAACCAAGTTCCTTCATTCTATACTCTCATAACTCTCTGAAGCATATCTTTGTCACAGTTAGTATTAACTGTGACAGATTTTTATGACAGAGACTATGTCTGTTTAGCTCACCACTAAATGCCCAAGCATATAAGAGGTGTTTAATAACTATATGATATAGGAATGAGTGAATGGAATTGGGTAATGCAATCTATGCTTGCCCAAATTTTTAAATACTTAACTATGCTGATGACATAAGCAAGTTTGTACCCTTAATATAACTAATAAGGAAAAAGAAAGATCAGTTTCATTTTATTTCATGTTTAATAAAAAACGTATAGATGAAGAACACATTTAGGCATGTGTATAATCATATAGGCTCAGGTTCAAAATCTGATTCTACCACTTACTAACTGTATGTTCATGGGAAAATTACTTAAAATGTCTCTGTATTCCAGCTTCACGATCTATAAAATAGGTCAGTTGGGTTTGAGGCACTGACCCACCAATTATTAGTTGTGTAACTTGGTTTAAGTTAATAATATGCCTAAACTTTAGTTTCTATCAAGATAAAATGAGGCCAACGATATCTATATCTGTCTGTCTTTCATGGCCATGAGGATGATTAAATGTGTGTGTGTGTATTTACTTATAAAAATATAAAAAAAGTGCCTAATCCATCTGAGTAAAACAATAGAAACAAATTAAAACAATAATATGAAATCATTTTCTATCTATTACTATGACAAAGATAAAAAATTGGCTAATATATGTTCTTGGTGACAATGTTGAGACAGATACATTCACATATGCTGTTGGTGGGTGTACAAACTGGTGAAATATTTGACCATATTTATCAAAATCCAAAATGCACACACAATTTGTTCTAGATATTCCTCCTCTAGAACTTCACACAAAGGCACAGACACAAATATTCACAAAGATATATGCACAAGGATGGCAATGCAGCACCGTGACAACAGAGTCCTGGAAATAATTTTTAAAAAATTCATCAACAGGACCTGTTTAAAAAGTGAGGGCATTTGTAAAATGAAATATATATTCATTAAAATGAACTGATACAGGGAATTATCTCCCAGTTGCATTATTTGATGAACAATCTAAAGAGCAATGCAAATTGTGTTTAAAAAGACCACTTTCACAAACATCCAATTGTTTGGGCAAACAATACTTTTCTAAGCATTTGATGAAAGCTGTGGTTGCCTCTGGGGAGAAGAATGTGGGTACCTAGGGAGAGATTTATTTTTCATTATTGTATGTGTTGAATTTTTTAAATTTTACAAATGTTCCTTTATCAATTCAGTATTAATTGAAAAGCTTAGAGAATGTGAATTAAAATTTCTGGCTGCTTCTACTATGATTGCTTTTCTTCCTATTATTATTAGGTCTTAAATTTGAACTGTGGCAGAGGTCTCTGGTGAAAGGTGTAGGGCAGCAGAGGGGCAGAGTGGTCACTGTGGGATGACCTCAGAAGAGTGGGAGGATATTCCCATCCACAGGTGCCAGGAAAGAGACAGAGGAAGCTGGGATTTCAGGGAGAGAGGTGGATCCAACTCTTGGACAATAGGTGTTAGGGAGGAGCAGTGGAGGTGTGCATTCATAAGAGGTAGCAGAAACAATAAAAGTCCTTTAATATGAATTCATTGAATCCTCCTAAATATTATCTCCATTTAATTGATGAGCAAACAGAGTTTGAGTAGCCTGCCCAGGGTCATATACCAGCCATGGCAAAGCCAGCATCAGATCTGAGGACTCAGTACAGAAGCTCAGCTTCGGGTATATTTGGAGTATATTGTCTCTATGTAGTGTTTATTTTTGATTTGGTTTTAGACTCCTGGTTTCCTTGCTCAAATAAACAGTCTTTATTAGAAGTTCAGGTCCACTCTGTGCCAATGATTGCCTTTGAAGCTGTGCTTGGTGATTTCTAGAAGCTTTATTCCCTGTTTGCGGTTACCCCAGTTTCACTCTTTCCCAGGAGAAAAGACTGCTGAGAGAATCTAGACTTAGGAGCCCTCCTAATGGTCTCCTACAGCCCTTAAAGTTTTTATTCAGGAAGGACAGGTCAGGGAAGAAACACATCTCTAGTCACCCAGCCTTGGAGCTGAATGAATAATAAACATGGTTTATGACTATGCTTACTATACTTACTCAGAATAGTTAGAAAATGACCCAAAGCTGCCAGGTCTGTTTCTGTCCCAGATGAATATATTTGGGGCAGTTCCTTTGATACCAATGGAAAAGGCAAGGGTATCACCCATATTCAACGAAGTGCCACCCAGACGCATTTGGAAAATTTTGAGAAATCACCCTCTCCTAGCCACACTGTGCCCTCATTCCAGAATACTCTGAAGTCCAAAAACTTTGGAAGGGGGTTAGACAGTAATTAATTAGTCTAACTAGGAACAATCACTGGGCTCATGGCTATTTTTATTTTGAAATTTTATGTTCAAAAGGGTATTTAAAGACGTGAGATATTGTTCAATTATTGCACTGCAATAAAATGGTTAATTTTAGGAGCTGTGTGAGTTTGATTTGTATTTAAGATTTTTACAATCTATATATAGGTTGGTCTTTAATAACCGTTTATACATTGCTTCTTTTTATATAGGTCATGTATTCTCCAGGGAGAGTAACAAGATTAGAAATAACAAATACAGTGCAGAATAAATTAAAATGCTTCAAACTGCATTATATAATTTCAGAAAATTGGTTTCACACTGAAACGTTTAAATAAGAAAACCAAATGATTTAAGTAAAAAAAAAATCCCTTCGTATATGCATTTGAATTGTCATTGTTTGGCAAGTTTTGTCTTCGACTGTGTGGTACTGAAATCTTTTCACAGTACTCCAGTAATGTGACAGTTCATTTGGATCAATATGGATAAAATTATTATTATTTTTCTTTATTTCTGGCTATTTAGAAATGTTGGCGTCATTCTTATTGAAGATGAAAAGATGAATAGTGTTTATTAGTCAAAATGTAAAAGGACTATCATAAAAGTAATTATATTTTTATATATAATTTCTCCAAACTCTTGTACACAAAACACTTTCATTACATGCAGTGCAATAAATTCAGAGGTTGTTATGGGATAGGAGATGGCAAAATTGGGGCCAATACTATTCTAATTACTTAGGATAGTAAAAAGTCGGGCTTGGTTTTCCTTTCACAACTAAATGAAGGAGATGTGATGCTTGAGAGAATCTATTATTCTGGCTTGTTTTGTTTGTTTCTGTGAAGTTTAGCATCACTCTTCTTGTTCTGAGTCCTCAGGCCTTTTTCAATTTTTCTATACGTGTATTAAAGGCCTCTTCCTGTATTTGCAGCTTTTCGTTTATCTCGGTCTGTGAAGACAATCATAAAAAAGTGGTTATGATGGAGCTATCTTTCGCTGCACATTGTCTTTGTGGTTTTGACATACTATAGTGCCTAAAGACAGACATTATCCCTCACACACCTTCCTGTTTTGCAGACATCGCCGTGTTTCAGCCTGTAGTGATGTGATAACACTTTATCATATTTCTCTGCACATTCCCAATGTATAGCATGTCTACTATGAACAGGAAGTGGTATTTGGACAGCCATTTTTCACATAGCCTTGTGTTGGAAGATAGGATAATTTATCTGTATTTTCAGACAGACTTTACCAATAAGCACCGAATCAGAATAACTGCTTTGGGCTCAGTTATTGCAATGTTGTTGGTCCCTCCACCCCTCTGCAATGAATGTTTTTGTCTTCTGTGTAATGCATTCTAAATAGGATCCCAGAAAGCTTCTGTTGTGAAATAACTACACAAATAATCTCACAATTAGAACAATTCTCATAATTAAGAGTATTCATCATACATTATAACTCTTGGAATGATGCCACTTTGTGGTATATTTTTGGTAGAAAAAAGTACACAGTAGCTGACAGGTTTTAGTGATTGCTTCAGCTGTGATAGCATTTAGCCTCTGGCAGTGATATTCTGTGGACTAACATTGCTACCTGCACAATTCCAGAAATACTTACACATTATCTGAACATTAGTAGCCCTGGAAATGTCTCCGTTTATCACAATGGATAATAAAATTACATACAGAGAAACCAGTGTTTGTCGACATGACAAAATTGGTGTTTTTGTTGCTGTTTGGTGATTTTAAAATATCTATGAGTGTATGAAAGAGCAGTTTGTGCAAATACATGTTAATAATTTCAAAGTTTAGTGTATATATATATATATATATATATATATATTTATAACATAATTTGAAGTCTTTAGGGTAATTGTATTTTGAGAAACTTTTTAATTTTGAAGAAATCTGGAAGCTGGGGATGTAGCTTGATGGTAGAGTGCTTGCCTAGCATGTTTGAGGCCCTGGGTTCAATCCCCAGAAAATTTTTTTAAAAAGCAAGAACTAGATAGAAAAAAATTAAATATCAAAAAACTAGTTTAGGCACTGATATAATTTTTGTATTTATTTACCTATTTATTGAGTTTTAAGAGTGTAACTATAATACATCTGAAATGGCTATCTTATTTGATGAGATTTTGCTTTTCCTTCATAGGATGACTTGCTATTTCTGACAAGATTACTTTGATGTCAACAATTCAAGATTTAGAATTAATATGAAAATCAGTGTTTCTTGGTTTAAGTTTTTTAAGCTCTGGGATCAAGATTTGGACTCTGCTGTCTTATCTTTTCCTTTATTTGTGGTTGCATAGAAGAGGAAAGGAATGATCCTTCAAGTTACAAGGGAACTCTTATTTTTCAGGATTCACTAAATCTCCTCATGCATAATTTCAGTAGAGTTGAAGGGAACATTAGTCTATCAGTGGGGAGACCTATGTACTAGTTTAGATATGTAACACTGAACAAGTCATTTAACCACTCTGGCTATTAGTCCTTTTGTGAAAAATTAGGTAGGAGAATAAGATTTTATTGACATTTTATCCTAACTTTAAATTCGTGATTCCAACTCCCAATTTTGTGATATACTTCACAAATGGCATTTCATTGATATCTTGTTATAAAATATTTTAAACATTTGTTACTCCCACTTCATTAAAGTAAATTTGTGGGACAGAACATATTGGATCATGTAGGGGTTGAAATGGTTTGAAGAAATAATCTTGTTACAATTCCAAAAGAATAGGAAGGATTTTTCCACCCAAGCAATTCATTCTTTGCACTTTCATTAATGTTCTATGCCCACCAATAATCTCAGACAAGTACAAGCCAGCATTCAATGTAAGATGGACTGTCTTCTACCGGCTTCTCTTTCACTACCTCACCTAGAGCTTTTTCAGGTATTTCAATGAGACAGACTTTACCAAAACAAGTATAGACCTTGGGGGAAAGATTCATGAAGGTGCACCTGACAGAGTGGTGCACTACCTGGAGAGTGACCTTTAAGATCTCCAGACCTTGGTGATCAGTACTAGTATCATAAGTTTGGGCATAACCAGCAGAGCCAGGATCAAAAGATTCCATGTCAGGTCAAGGACAGGCTTTCATTGGTCTGCCGTGTTTCCTTGTTATTTCTCAGAACACTGATAAACAGATAGCTATCCCACAACCACGAGGGTTGGGTCTGGTTCTATTTCCTTTAGGAAAGAATGTACAACCCATGACCTCAGTTCAACAGTCTTTGGCCCCTACATTTTGGTTTGGATTTTTGCTGTCCCCCAAAAGCTCAATGTGAGATAATGCAAGAATGTTCAGAGACGAAATGATTAGATTATGAGAGAGATTTTGAAATCACAATCCACTGATGAGGTCACAGCTAATCAGTGGAACCATCCACTTGAATGGATTAACTGGGTGGTAACTGTAGGCAGGTAGGGCATGGTTGGAGGAAGTAGGTTACTGGGGATGGGCTTTTGAGCTTATATTTTGTCCCTGCTGAGCAGAGCTCTCTCTGTTTTCTGGATCATGAACTGAGGAGGTTCCTTCCATGATATTCTGCCTCAGCTGGGGCCCAGAGTTAAGTAGTTGGCTCATCATGGACTGAACCTCTAAAATCATGAGCCAAAATGAGCTTTTACTCCTCTATGTTGTTCTTGTCAAGTTTATTAGTCATAGCAATACAAAGCTACCTAAAACAACTACTTTCAGGTGATCTCACTCAACTTTCCTAACCTGGAAAATTCAAAGTTGACCTAAAGATGTCCTTAGACATTTTAAGAAAAACTTAGAGTTCTCTCTTAAGTGTGGCAGACTTCCCTCAAGGTTTTATGTTATTTTACCCTATTGCTAAGACAGGGCCAACAGCCAACATTCAATGTAAGAATTTAGTGTTAGCATTCATATTTCTCTGAAATGTAATTCTTTAAATATATTAAAGTTTACTCCATTGGGTGTAATTTTTATTATATAACTCAGGGCCAAAATAATTTCATTTTGAATGTATCTTTAAAATTAAAGTACCTAAACTATGTAGGCTTAAAATGTTTGCTCTATTCAGTGTTATTTTAATTAACATCTGAGGGCCAAGATAACTTCATTCTTAATAAATCTCTAAAACCATAAAGTGAGTCAATGGGAAAATAAGTGGATCAACATAAAAAAGTAAAGACTCATGCTACATTTTCTGAAATTTATATATTATAGAAGATGAATTTTATTTGTTACCATACTAGAGAATAAGCTCTGAAAAAACTGTGTTAAAAACATGAGTTCTCTACTGCCTTTTTCTGCAAATACTGTAAAAACAGTATGACTTTTAAGTAAAGATGGATAAAAAAATCATGGGAAAATTGAAAACATCTTACAAGTAACAATTCACTAAATATTTGTACAGCAGGTTTGTTCAGAAGGGATATATAATCTACACCAATCATTGACACACAACTGCCTTTGAAAAGGGTTGTGGCAGTTTTTAGAACCAGGGGACACTGGAAGTCGAGTTTCAGAAGCGGAAAATAACTGACCTATCTGAAACAGAAGGAGAAATTTAGGTGAGCAAAAGGTAATTACTCAACTTGGAATTTGACCAAGACACAAGTGTAAACATTGAAAAAGTATCACCCTACAAGTGTATTAAAATCCAAGCTATTCTGGCCATGATATTAAATATTATGTGGTTTTTGTGGATAACATTGGAATTAGGACTAGAATCCAGCTCCCATTCAGGACCTTTCATCAGTTGTCAACCCTGAAAACTCTAAGGGCAAATGACTTAATCTTTCTGTGCCTCATTTTCTATTTTACCTGGTCAAATGCCCTCTTCACGTACATTGAGTTTATAAGGATTACTGAGAGAAAATACATAAAGGGGTTAGCTATCTTGAGACATTGTATAAATCCACATCATCCTGCCATTTCATTGAAAAATTGGCACTAATTTGGCCCATGCTGACATCCACAGATCCACTTATTATGGAAATAATCCTGGTACCTGAAGGAGCTGCATCTCTCTCCTCTGGTCCAGATTCTCTCTGTGCCTAATTACATTTAGGTGAGCAAGCTAATGAACTTCTGGATGGCTTCAGGCCAATGGGAAGATAATGTGCATATACAGCAATCGTATTCTTTCTGTTACAGAGTAGAGGTATAAATGCCCCAGACTCTAATATTGAAAAAAAATGTCAGCAAATAGTTAAAAACATACTGTTCACAACATGGAACATGACCTTGGTAAAGATGTTTTCAATTTTGGGGGGCTGCAAACAATTCTATTGCTTTCTAGTAGTTTCTTGGCAATAATTTCAGAGCCGCAGGATTGCAAAGGAGCCCAGGGCCATGATTATACATAAACTATATTTAGATGAAATGTTATCAAATCTAAAGAGGAGATATGTTCTGAACTCAGCTTAATTCAGCTGCACTCTGCCCTTGCACACAGTAACCAGTTATTACATTCATGGGGTTGTTAACAATAAAGCTTTGTGTAAAACGTGTTCTTCCACTATTTCTGGTAAACACTAAACACCCCTTATTAAGCTGAGGACTTTGGCTGATTCTGTTGGCACCAAATCATTAAATGTTCGTGTAAATAGTGCAATAACATTTGATGATTAAACAAGTAACAAAGTATGCTTATGCCAAGCTAATCTTTTGCTCTTTTTAAATTAGTTGTTAATACCGTGTGCTTTTTATATATGGTATCAAGTTCAGATAACAACTAAGTCTTCCCCTGAGATGCATTAGTATTTTAAATATGCACTGTGTTGTCCTGCTGATTTATGGCCATTTCTAAGAAATTGCAAATTCACTCAAAAATATGCAATTTACTTATTTAATCGTGTGGCCTGGAGAATTATGTGAATTCCTGTAAATCTTTAATGTTAGGTAGAAATGGTTGTTTGTTGGGGCAGAATTAGAAAGAACTAAGCATAAAGCTAAGCTGGCTGATAGATCACTGTGGCTACTGGGATACTGTAACTGTTAATACCATTTTCATGTAACTGTTGGTATAAATAATACTAGTGATATGTGAAAAGAAACAAACTATCTGAGAGGGATTTTAAGACATTTCAGAAAGCTGGTGAGAAGACTTAGTTAAGAATGATGATTTGATTTTCAGTGTATACTATTTAGAAATGTACAATTACTCTTGCATACGCAATGTTTACAGTGTAGCAATGCTCAGAGTATTTTTTTGTTGTTGTTGTTGAGAGAGAGACAGAGAGAGAGAGAGAGAGAGAGAGAATTTTTTAGTTTTCGGCAGATACAACATCTTTGTTTGTATGTGGTGCTGAGGATCAAATCTGGGCCGCACACATGCCAGGAGAGCGCGCTACCGCTTGAGCCACATCCCCAGCCCAATACTCAAGAGTTTTTACCTTTCTTTTAAATTTCCATGTTGAATGATTTTGCAAACTGACAACCCACACCATAATAGATGCTATAGGCAAATCTATGTTGTGATCTTGTTGACTTAACTGAGAATTATGTGCAGATGTTCAATTGAACGCCATCATAAGTATTACTCTTGATGGCACAGTGTTGACAGGGTTTACAGATGCTGAGTTTGACTAATTAATAATAAGGTAATTAAATATACTATCAATACTGAGTACCTGAATGCCTTTTAAAATGTCTTCTGTGACTTGAGCCAGGACTGATTTTACATCTTCAATGGTGAAGCCAACTAAAGGATCCATGTCTGAAGTGTCAGATTCTGACTGGGAGTGCTCAGGGCCTTGTTCTTGATCCAACCCCTAGAATATTGAAAGCATATAACATTGAAGAGATTTCTAGAGTATTCTGAGATTTATATAGAGCCTTAAGCTTCGATTGGGTGATATTCTATCAGGAATGATGTTTTGATTTGACATTATTCTGCATTTTCATTATTCATGGGGGATTACAGCAGATCCAGTCATGGTGCCAAGCGGTACCCACTTTTGGGAAAGTGAAGATAGAGGTTAAGGAACAAAGGGTGGAAGATTTTAAAATTGCCCAAACACAGTCACTTGGCCCATCTTTGAATTGCTATAAGGAATATTTATGTCTGGCTGAGAAAAATCAGAGGCCAAGAAAATGGAAGAACATTTGTTCTTTCTCCCTGATCCCTGAGGTAGGGTGAATGAAAAGACAAAAGGGAACCTACCTTCATTTCCATATCTGAGGTTGAGGGTGGCTCTATGAATGTTGAATGAATATCAAATGAGATTCCTTCTACCAGAGGCTCTGGGAATGGGTGGACTGAAGTCTTGACAACCTCTATCACTTGCTGGAGAGGAAGAGAAGAGCTAAAGTATGAAAGTCTTCAGTGAATAACAACAATTTCAGCCAGTTCCCTTATGTATCTGCCATACTTCCAAGTCTGGTATATTTTAAGGGCTTATCCCTTCTAATTTTTTTCTTTTTCTTTTTTTTTTTTTTTTGGTACCAGATTTTGATCCCAGAGGCACTTAACCACTAAGCCATATCCCCAGTGCTTTTTAATATTTTATTTAGAGACAGGGCCTCACTGAGTTACTTAAGGCCTTGCTCAGTTGCTGAGGCTGGCTTTGAACTCACAATCCTCCTGCCTCAGACTCCAGAGCCAATGGGATTACAGGCGTGTACCACTGTGACTGGCTCTTCTGCATTTTTGATGCCACCGCCCTCTTGGTTATTTGTTGCCTTTTGAACTCCATCTCTCTCAACTACTGTCAACTGGTATTTTCTTTTCCCATTCTTTTTCTACACACAATGGTGTAGAATTTCATATTGTATTGCTTTGGCCTTTGTCTCAAGCCTCAGCCCCTTACTCCTGCCTACAAGCTCTCTGTAGGTAGAGAACCAAGTTTTAGAGCCCATGTATATCTTCTCCAGTGCTTATTACATCCAGTAACAGCCTGGTGGTGATTGATATTACTCAGCAGAATGAAGCTGTTCTTGTGGGGAGCATTGGAGTAGCCATCAACAACCTGGAAACTAGGAGACCACTCTGGAAAGATTAATATGTAAAGCCAGAAAGATTTACTGAAACACAGAGGGCAGGACAAGACTTCACCAACATCAGCTGACAACTCTTTTGCAAGAGTGTGTCAGTGGGAGGGAGCCTGGTAGTCACCACTGAAAGGGAAGAAAAAGGAGAGTCAACTTTGGCGATGCCTAACCCACCAGGACTTGAAGAGCAAGAGGAGATGAAGTACTAGCATCTGTTCTTTATGTTCTGATTCCATGTTTAACATGCAGCATTTTGACCATAATTTGATTTCCCATCTCAATTGATCTGTGAAGACATGCCCATTTGAGTGTTTTGGTTTTTATGCCTTTTACACTCCTCATTGTAAATCAATAAACGGTTCTAGTTTATATGGTAAATTCTCGTGAGCTTATGAGTGCAGTTCTGAGAAGTACTTCTCTGTATGCTGACAAGTTTGAAGACAAAACTTTGAGAATATATGAATTCACCAAATAATTACCATTTTCTGGAGCTTAGAAAAAATCACGAAGTATTATATGTTCATTTCTAAATTCATAATATTTCAAATAAACATATATGTTATGTTTCATAATTTAAATATTAATATTTTATTTAGAAAAGTTTCAGAATGTACTGGAAATGAAGTTATTTTTTGGCCGTACCAATTTGTAGGTATTTTGCAATGAATTTGTATTATTAATTTTAACTTGAGTTTATAGGAAGTGGCTGCTTAATGTCATCAAATGGAAGCACTGAAGTCTCCTAACTTTATAGGCACTGAGATTTGGAAATGAAGAGGTTAAACGATTGGTCTAAGGTCAAATACTTCTTCAGTGACAGGGCTGGGACTTAAACCCTGGTGTATTGACCCCTTGGCCTATGCAGTTTTCAGTAAACAACATCAAGTTGCCATACTTGGAAGTTATTGATATTATTAAGCACTTTAATTTTCATTCTGATTGTTAGGTGATGTCATTCCAGGTTGTTTATCTTAAGTTGACTAAATGTTAATCAAAACAGAATATTGAGACGTGGCATATGTCTGTAATCCCATGGCTGGGGAGGCTGAGGCAACAGGATCAAAAGTTAAGGGCCAGCCTTAGCAATTTAACAAGGCCCTGAGCCACTTAGTAAGAACCTATCTCAAAATAAAAAATAAAAAGGGCTGGGGATGTGGCTCAGTGGTTAAGCACCCTGGGTTTGATTCCTGGTACCAAACAAACAAAAAACTTAGAATACTGAAAAAAAAATTTAAGAATAGTTATTTTTTCTCATCACATTCATAAAACCATTGCTTTTCTAAGTAGGTCATACAAAGGTTTCTATCTTCTCACAAAATTATTTGCACCTCTTTCTACCACTCTTGGTTTGTATCCTCCTACATCTTCTATTGCTCTTTATTTTCCCAAGCTAGGGAAAGGACACAGCTAGACACATTTTAATGTCTTTAGAAATATTACAGGTAAAATAAACAAGCTGAATGTCGCAATCAGAAGCAATAGAAGACGATGAGGTATTTACTTAGGGGTGTAGACTTTAATATACAGTAAGAAACAAAGTTTGGGGTGCCAGGTTTGGTGGGTGAGTCATTGAAAAGAAGAAAACTGTAGTTTATTGAATTTACTGCAGGCACATAGCTCTGCAAGGTGAAAATGTTTTCTTTTAATGAAGCAGAATTTTGTCTGCTATGATCATATTTGTCTTACTGCTTGCTATGTTTTTCTATTCACAGTTCAGGACTTTTTGCTAATGTGCCCTCCCCTGGTGAAGTTCTTAATAGATAGCCTCTCCATTCTGGTAACAGCACATTCTACCATCTGCCCTTTAGTGCCCCTTTCCCATCAGGTTATACACTTAAATGCAAATGGATATTTGAGTTCAAGTCTCTCATTTTATCCCTCATATCCCTGTGATCTAGATTTCTTTATACGGTTCATCTGAACTACTTGTCAGCTACCCAGTTTTCTGGTTTTTGGCATGTGTGTGCGTGAGTGTGTGTGTGGTGTGTGTGTGTGTGTGTGTGTGTGTACTGGGCACACACTTAGAAACTTGGCACTTCACAGCTCCACATCATCATTTCTTTGGTAGAGTGAAGCTCCCATTTATTCTGAGAAGCTCAAGTTCTAAATGACAGTGGGCTTTTCTTTTCCTTGTTTTTTTATGAGTGTAGCTTATGTAACTATGAGATCAATTTAATTTGTGTACAAAAACCAGGGGTGAGAATTTCTTTTCTTCAGGCGTTTTGCATACTATTGATAAACCAAACCACAGCTGTTTTTCTCTTTTATGAAGAGTTACATTTAGCAGTTAGTGAGTTACTACAAGGAAAAGAAATATCGCAGTTTCAGTTGAAGGTAGAAATAAAATTTTCATTAATAATAGGAAGTTAACTTTCAAATACATGGTGTGAAATAAACAATGCCCAGAAGCATCATGGTGATTTTTCCCCATTAAAAAATGGCAGACTTTTTTTTAAACAAGTTTAGGGAAAATTAGAATCAATAATTGTGTGAGAACACAAAGCCAGCAAATATGGTTAAGAAAAACCGTCTGATGCAATACTTTCTTAAAAAAAATACAATTAGGCCTTTGTATTTTTTTTTAACAAAACCTCATGTTTTACAACATCACTGGTTCTGTAATAAAATCTATTTAAAACAGAGAGACATGGTCAGCTTTATTAAGTTAGATTTTTTGAAAGAACGTTATAATTTCCTCAAGTCTATGAATAGTTGAAGCAAATTAAATAAAGCTAGTTTTATAACTATTTTTATACATTCCTGTAGAATTGTAATTGTCTCATATTTTTTTCCTCAAAAGTCTAATATGTTACCTCTTAAATCTGGAAAAATAAAAACAGAAAAAGGATCAAGCAAGTTTATTAAAAAACCACTCCTATTTGGTACCCTGACTTAGCAACCCCCACCTTTTCCATGAGAATAGCACCCATAATATTCAGATCAGGAAACAAAAGGGAAGGACTTTAAGTGACTTGCCTGGGGCCTAATGTTGAGATTAAAAATCAGGAGTTTCTGATTATACACATATATCCATTTGGCCAAATGATTGGTTTTGCTTGACTTTCAAATACCCCCTAAATATTACTTTGAATGTAAAGCAATAAATGTGTTTCTCTTGCCATTTTGAATGCTTGCACACAAATGGATATAATAAAAACAATCATGTTGTTCCATGTGAATGCCATTTATATTTTTTCTGATAATGAGCAGAACATTTGAACCAAGGTGAGTACATTAAAATCTCTAATAAAGAAGAGAATAGATTTCTAAACAGAATAATGGACTGTTAAGTGAACATACGATAAATAACATCTACAGATGTGGTCACTAGAAAATTAGTTTTGCATAACTTACCAATATACATTTCCCCCAGATGTTATCTGTTATATGAAAATTGTTAGCTGTATTGTTCATTACGTGCACATTGCATTAGTGTTATTTAAGACGGTTTACAATCTGCACTTTAGTTGAATTGTACTATGGTATTTAAGGGATATCAAGAAAATGGCTTATTGGCACAGTTTAATATTCAAAAGTACAAAATTTCATTGTCAAACATCATTTATCTTTTTAAAAATGCAAGATCTTTACTTACAAGCCAAATGAAATTACTAGAAATCCTTTAAAAAATGTGTATATTCAATATGAATTGGATATCTACTATGTGAATAAATACTAAGAATTTTGACCTCCCATGGAAATAAGTTCAGGTCAGTTTGGGTTTAAAAACCTACTTTTTGGAGTTAGATTTTGCTTCTAGTTCTTACAGCGTCTGAATAGTATAAAGATTTTTATCTCAATGCTGTATTACTTCATGCTTTCTTTTTCTATGTTATGTGTTAATATTACCAGGAATATGAGTTCAGATTTATTGCTTTCTTCAGTAATGCTTCTTTGGAGAAAGTGTAGGTGATTTGTTGGTAATGTTTGTACCACTAAAATCTATAATTAAGGTGGTACTTGTTACATTATTAAAATATATTATTAAATTTTTTAACATATTAAAAAGGCCATTGAGATTACAACTTTCCAGTATTTTGAATGGCAGAAAGCAAGATAAGTCTGTTCAGTCCTTTTTGAGCCACCAGGCACACAGACAAAAAAGTGGATTTGCTTTGAAAAGACATTTGTTTGGAATTGTCCAGAGGATGACTTCATATGTAAATCAGAACTTACTAAAATATGTCAAAGTTTCAAAAGCAAACTTTTATTGCCAACTTTCCCCACTATTAACTAAGTGAAAAAGGCACAAAAATTCCAGTAATATTTTAACTATTTTCCCCCTTGAAGAAAAAC